GTTTAGCTATTACCAGATGGCATAATTTTATAATTTTTAACTATATGTTATCCACTCCTACACTTGGGGTGTTTTTCAACGAAGAAATAGCATCCAGGATATCTTGAAGCATAAAAGTAAAATGAGATAGATTGTGTTGTCTGCTACAAGAGAAGAATGAAAGCGGAGAAGAATTTGATGTTACATCAGCAGGAGTGAAACATGTGGAGAAGAATTTATCGAACATATTTGCACTATCAAGAGACAAATTGAGGTTACGTTATTGTCATCACTGAAAGATTTTGGCTGTGGGGAATTACCCTTACGAAATTTATTAATAAAAGACCAAAACTTTTTAGGATTTGAGAAATGCTGTGAAATTTTCTGAAACATACAATCCTATTGGAAACTTTTTACACATGAGCTAGTTTTCCAAAGATCCCTAGAAAATCTGTTTCAGAAAGCTCTTCTGGGAAAAATTTTGGTTATGAAAACATGTCCCTAAGTCTCCTCTTTCGAATGGTGAAAATTGGAGCTCTTTAGCCTTTTCCTATCAAAAGTTATTCCAAAAACATTTATATACCATTCTTTTTTTGGATGGACAATAGTTGTTTTCCATAATTCAAGAAATCCGCTGGTGTTGCAGGGAACTGCTTGACCTCCAATTTCAATGTTGGCTTAACTTTTATCAACAAATATTGTAATCTGATTGCTTCTGACATTAGTTCTCCTCCAATAGTTCTTCATATCAAAATTTGATGATTCTTTTCTAGAGAAGCCTTCCGTGAGATTTTTACATATTCTAAAGCAAGATCTCGTCGGAGTATTTCCAATTTTTGAGTCCTTTGGACTCCACTTACGTTTTCATGGTACATTACACTATATCAACTGCACACATCAAACACACTGCGTCTAGTTAGTTCTATTTCCTATTTAGTTTAGTTTCCTATCGAGTTTATTCTATTTCCTATTTTCTACTAATTTCCCAGAGTAAAAAGTTAAGAAATTTGAAAATACTCCTCTCCAATTTTTCTGTCAGTTTGAAGTACAAAGGTTGTACTCTACGCTAAGCTATTTTGTAGAAAAAGGTACATTTTATTTCTTAAGTTATATATCTATCAGTATCGCAACTGAGCAAAGAAAATCATAGTTTCTTTTATGTTCAGTAGTTAAATAAGACTCTTTTTGACCATTATGTGTTAGAGAACTACCTCGTTTTCGTTCTCTAAACTACATTTCTCGTTGGTAGATACACTCCTTATTTTCTTATGGACGGCAGGTCAGTGCTCTCCTTTTTTATCTTGATTTATCTTCAGTTCTTCACCATTTCTAGAGAGCTTCCCTTCGATACTTTGGAAAACAATTCGAAAGCAATTCCTCTTTTCTCTTCACTACTTTTTCACTGTACAGTTTTTCTTTAAAACTAAAAATATTAATATAAATATTATATAAGTAGTATTAATAAATATTACTAGTTGAGTAGTGTAGAAGTCAAAAGTTCGATTCTACTATTCAATTATTCAAATGCTAATTCAGTTCCAGATTCACAATTTCTCAATTATTAATAGTTGAATTCAACTTTTGAGTTCTGCATGTATGTACTAGTTGGAATTTGTGTCAGAAACGAAGCATTACGTCTCCATAGACACGTCGAGGGAGTGTCAATAGCTTCTTTCTGGCACGCCTGGGCGTGTCAATAGCCATTCCGATATATTTAAACTCAGTCAACAAACCAAAAATGTCTTTTGAATCACAATCAAAAGATTTTCGAAAAACATTCACTCGTTACACATCATCGGCAACATCCAGTTAACAACAAAATGAGCAAGAAAAAACAATAAATAAATCAGCTGTTGAATTTAAGAAAGTAATGAATAATGTCAAAACGTTTTCGGGGATTTTAGATAGATAAGCATCTGAATGGTGGAATGATATTATTTATTTATTTGATATAATTGATGTTAATAATGAAGACAAATTCCGTTTTATTAGATCAAAATTAGTTGGTGAAGCCCGTCGATGGTATCAACAAAATCAAACCACCATTATAGATTGGCCATCATTTCAACATGATTTAGACAGAAATATTTATCATCATCGGATAGTGATAATTATATAAAAATTGAACAATTAAAACAATATAAACAAACAAAAAATCAAACGGTAAAACAATATTATAGTGAATTAACGAAATTATGTGATGAAATTAATCCAACAATATCTGATGCGTAGCGAATGCAATGGTTAAGAGGCGATGTTAAACAAGAATTAATCAGGACGGCATTGCTGAAAAAATCTGAATCACTGCTAAGATGCACGGAAAGCAGAGTTCGAGTGGAAAATCGATTCGGTTCTTTTGCACATCATTCGAAAGAAAATCGAACGGCGATTCCGAATATCACTTCCCCGACTCCGGAAACCATTTTCTGGCGGAGTTATCGCCAAAATACTCGCAGGGACAAAAAAACCCGTTTACTCTGTATTTTTTTGAATTTGAAATTTTTTAGCGTGGTTTGGAGTTGGAGCATTCTAACACAGATATTCTTGCTCAGCGTCGAAAACTGAACAAGAATATGGGCTCAGAAAGATTTTAGACTCAAAATCCCTTTGCGGTAGGCACACCAAGAGAAAAACGCCGAAAAAGTCCTTCCCGTTTTTGCAAACCTATCTTCTATTTTCTGGAAGGTCGTAGAGCCTCATTTCACACTGTGTTACATTCCCCGTGAGCTCCTCTTCAACTTAAAAGAAGCTTTTTCGAAATTCCTTTTCTCGCTGAAAAAAATGACTTTTACTGAAAACAACGCTCAAACGGTCAGGTCCTTTTCGGCTCTTTTGTTTGTCTAAATTGTTTTAATTGTTCAATTTTTATATAATTATCACTATCCGATGATGATAAATATTTCTGTCTAAATCATGTTGAAATGATGGCCAATCTATAATGGTGATTTGATTTTGTTGATACCATCGACGGGCTTCACCAACTAATTTTGATCTAATAAAACGGAATTTGTCTCATTAATATCTCATTAATAAATCTTCGTCAATAATAATATTTTGGCGATAACTCCGCCAGAAAATGGTTTCCGGAGTCGGGGAAGTGATATTCAGAATCGCCGTTCGATTCTCTTTCGAATGATGTGCAAAAGAACCGAATCGATTTTCCACTCGAACTCTGCTTTCCGTGCATCTTACAATTATTTGATGAATTATATCGTCAAGAACAAATATTAACAGTTGAATCAAGTAGAATTAATAGTGAAGAACAAATACTCTCGTCTGTGCGTGGTCGCATTCCTCACTTACCAACGAAAGATAATCAATCACCTGATTATTAAGGAAGCCAAACAACGGACTTTTATCAAACACTATTTTCACGTTTCGGTTCAAATCAGTTTTCTTATCCACCTTATTTTCCTCGGCCATACAGACAACCATTTTCACACGAACCATCATTTCAAGGTCAACAGAGCTAGGACGAAAGTATTTGTACTTGTACTTTTAGTACTTTTTCAAGTAAAAGTATTATACTTGTACTTACAAAAATGTACTTGATACTTGTACTTATACTTTAAGAAAAATACTTGGTACTTATACTTGTACTTCGAGATAAATACTTTTGTACTTGTACTTAAGTAC